GACAACTATGACCACATGAATTTAAAAAATTAAACATTTCACTGCCCAAGTCAGCTATAACACAAGTCTTGTTCATCAGACTACATGCTGTGGACAGATTTTGTCCCAGGATTTATTATGCATTTCTTCTTCTTCGTTGCATGATTTAGAATAATAAGGTGAGAAATGGGTCTATTCTGAGTTCATCCTGCACTGCAGCAGCTAATAAAGTCCATTTAATCCCCAAAACGCTTTTCTTTTAGGCAGGCTGGAGCAGAAAACAACTCACCTTTCTCAAGTTGTACAGTAATGTCACATGTGTATGAAGGTGGATCAACAAGCTAATCTTAAATGTCAAAGTAGAGAGGAGCCTAGTAGGCCTATTTATTTTCATTCATTACACAATATGAATAAGCTATGCAGACAGTTGTAAAGAAAGAACATCTTTTTCTTCTGTTCTCTACTTGTTATAGTTACACAGTATTAGGGGTGTGGGCTGTATTAAAAGTATCCACTGTTCTCCCATGCTCTAACACACAGTAACGATGAAATGTGTGCTGTTCTCACATTCTCCTCTGTATGTACACATAAACAACAAGGCAGGGAAATATAAAAGGAATTTATTTTATTGTTTGGGTACATTATTGTTCAGTGTACATGCTCACATCTGAAACAAACTTTACGTGCTTGATAACTCTCCCACCCCGCAGACATCTACATGCCAATACCGATTTATATTCATAGCGGCAAGTGCTATGTAGCTCCACATAGGGGACACAGGAAGTGACATATAGCACCTTCATGCGGCGTCGGAACCGCATAGGAAATTCACAGCCGCACCGGCTGAATGTGCAACTCGGCCGGCTCACACCCGGACGCGCTACAAGTGCGACGGCCCGCCCAACGCTGCTTGCAGCTTTAATTCTTCTTTACATTTCACTTATTATTCATATTTCACATCACACTTTCATGTGAAAGTGTGATGGTGTATCCCTGTACTTTAAGATCTTCTTGTAATTGAAATATTTCAATATTTAATTTAATCTTTTCAAACTCAATATTTTCTTTTTCTGCTTTAAACTATAGTGTTTCCTGTGTGAGCTTCTCAATTTCAGCTGTAAATAGTTGACATCTCAGTGTGTTCACATCCTCTTCTGTGCCAGGAGCAGGAAGCCTTCTGCTGCCTTTAGCACACTTAGCTGGTGGTGGATGGCTGCTGGGCCAAGATGACAGTCGAGTTGTCGGTTTTTGTCGGTTGATTGTTGGTCACATCCGGTCCAGTAAAGGTGGGCTCTGGCGGTTGGAGGGATGCTGGTTCAAGCAGACATGCTTCTGCAGATGGGGGGAGAGGTTGTTCAGCTGTATGATAGGGGGCTGGTGCTTCGGTTGCTGTTCCACTCTCAACCCCACTGGAAATGCCGCTCACTGAGGGGGAGTCCTCTCCCACAATGTCTAACACTAGCGCTGAGTATGGCCCCATGTTTGGCTTTGGTCCACCTCCTGCTGGGACATTTCGTGGAAATCAACGGCTTGCATTTTTAGGTCGCTCCACTTCTTCCTCACATCTTTTACATCCCTGTGCTCCACACCTTTTGCATTTATGGTGTCCGTTATATCCTCCCATATTTGTTGTTTCCATTTATTTGTTACAAAGTTGTTTAATTTCGATTCCAATGATTTTTTGTTTTGTTTATATTTTGATAGCAGGAAGTTTTTTTTTCTTGGTCTACGGTCAGACATGGCCAAATCCCTGAAACAGTACACAAACGTTAACTTAACATCAACATATCATTACAGTAGCCTATGTTACAGGGTAAGCAGGTATAGGCTAACTAAACTTGACATTAGACACTAACATTATTGTGTTGGCAAGCAAGTATATTGGGTTACATAACTCTTTAACTTACAACTAGGCCTACTAATTTATAACAGTTTGCTTGTGTATGTTATCATTATGTGTTCGTTATAATGTTACAATTTCATCTGTCTGTCGTAGGCTACGGTACTGTTCATTACAGGTACCGTTATATTACGCCTATGTTGTAGTAAATGGTTTTACCACTTGATGTCACTGTCATAATGCTTTGTCCTTGTTTACGTACCTGTTGTTGGTGTTTGGTGATTAACAGCTATTTTAGCCATTAGCCTCTTCAGTATTGGAAAAAGTTGAAAGAGAGAGACAAACGGCGAAAAAAACGTAATAAATGCTCTAGAATAGTGCTGTTCACTGATTGACAATGGGATGCGTAAACGTCATTTTCTGCGACACTGTTTTGATTAGTATGGACTTTACGCCAGAGTAGCTAAGATGAACCTTACGTTTCGGTGGTGCAACCAAACATCGACACAACTTAAGTCTCAGTATATACCCTGAGAGACATCACAACTAACTAGTTTCAACGTATCGTTTAGTGTGGACTTTGCACCCTAACTTAAGGTAGAACTTACATATTGCTGGTGCAACAGGCTGTAGGTCTGTTGACATGCAGATCAAACAGAACGTCTACACCAGACCAGTGGCACAGATGGGAGTTCTAACTGCTTTTCCTAAAGGAACAGAATATAGTATTCAAGCTACAGGCATCCCAACACGCCTTTCTATGAAGCAATGTACTTGTACTACATTTAAAAAGATTTTATTTTATGTTTTATATTTTGACAGGAATAATTTCAATGGGTTTAAAGGAACTGAGGTAAAAAAAACGTGTGAATCAACCTTTGGAAATTTAGGTCTATAAAAATTATTCATCTGATTATGAATAAGAAACTCTCAGACAGATTTCTTACCCACTGATCTTACTTTGACACAGTTTGAAGAAATCACAACAAGAAGTTCAGCAGCAATGAATGAAAGGATTATGATAGAGTCAGCACTTTATGGCAAACTGAATTTTATGCCAGCAACATGTTCCAAAAAGGTTTGGACAGGGCCAACAAATGACTAGGAAAGATGTGGAATGCACAAAAAACATTTTTTTGGAACATTCAGCAAGGTTAATACATAATGAGTAATAGTTTTATGATTGGGCATAAAAAGGGCATCCTCAGAGGACTCAGTCCTTCACAAGCAAGCTTTGGGCAGGGTTCATGACTTTGTGAAAAACTGCATGGGCATATTGGCCAACAGTTTAAGACTTGCAAAGATTTGTAGTCCACCACTAACACCCTTCCATCAATCTTCGCAGGGCAAATGTGAAAGCCAGTTGATGGGAACAGCAGTGACAAAGGCACAATTCAATACAATAAGTCAGTCTGGAACAGAACAGGAAATTACTCAAACTCACACACTTTTCATCTATTAACCTCAAGCTGGTCAGATTTTTTTTAATGAATGAAAATCTTTCACCTCAGTGCAACTAACTTTGTGAAGAACTTAGATTTTCCTCTGACATAAATAATATTACACATTTCATTACTGTCACATATTCATGTTTGTCACTGGCTTGACGGGGACACATACATGCAGTACAGGATGACCCAGGTACTAATTTGGAATCCACCGTTTGAAAAGATAGTAAACCAAATGCATTCTGCTTGTGTTTAAACATTTAGTTAAGCTACACAAACAGTCCACTCACTGAACGAGGCTGCCGATAAGTTAAAAGAATTATGACTTGTTTTATATGACACACTGAAAGATTTCTATAATAAAATAGTGTTTTATTTTCCGTAACCAAGCAGCGTTTGGCTCGATAAGGCAACAAACATGTGATAACAATACATGAAGCTATGCTCTCTATTTGCTCGACTGACGCATTGAAAACAGCATCAATTTAAATGTAATTTGTCCACCTGTTCACCTTATTTATGAGAATAAATTGCACTGCATGCAAGTATTAATTAATATGATTCCGGATTCCGTGTTCTTTTGCAGAAACAGATATCTCCGTTTGTGTTTATTATCCTCAATCTGGTTATTTGCAAATGATCTTAAATGATTTTTTTTTTGCCCACTTCAGGGAAAATAAAGGGGGACAATAAACAAAAATTTCTCAAGCTAGGGGACACAAATGATACAGCCTAAAATATATAGGATACGTGTAACAGAGGAAAGCCTTACTACAATTATTAGTGTAGCATGGAGACTGTGATGTTACCAAATTGCCATGACTTTTTGTACTTAATCTTTTCTCTGTCTTTTTATCTGGCCAACAACACTCAGCAATAGTTGTTTAATAGAGTTAGGTTCTTAAGTTTACCATCTGTCATATTATCCTAATTATCTGGCATCCTCCCCATAGTATTTTAGGTTTTTTCTGGGACAGAGGACGCCCTTAGTTATTCAACTGCAGAAAGCCAACTAATCTGCCACTTAACATCATAGTGAGCAAAACCTGAACACAAAGGTAGATCTACAATATTAGCCCAAGATCAGTTCACACACAGGCTTATCGCCATGTTAGTTGTAGTAAGAGATGCACTGATTACATTACATTGTCGATTATTGAAAGGTCTGACCTGCCGATTCCGAATATTTCTTTCTAACAACTATAACTGACAGCATACACAAACATCTTTATGTATTTTTCTTCTTTTTTCTTTATTACAACTTTTCTTTATTGGAAAATTCTTTTTTATTAGGATCAGCACCAGCATAAATTTTGGCTATTCTTACTGGCGTCCTTCAAGTGTATGATCATAATCAAACACTGATTATTAGATAACATTCACATTTTCACTGTATGGAGCTGTTTTGCTACAAAGCTACAAATAATATCCAACAAATTAGGCCATTTTAAAATATATTTTAACTGACAATATTTGAAAGAATACCCTATTACCCTATTTATATTATTTTATTTCTAATCTCACTATTTTAATCCTAATTAATTCTCCACCATATTTTAGTGTTTACTTTCAAACATCAGGAATCTGCTCTCCTTGCTTTTCACTTCAGACACAAAAGCACCTCTCTCTCTGCCTGTATCTCTCTGCTCTGACTTTATTTGTCAGCAGTTTTATAAAATAGTGAAAAAATAATAATAATAAAAAAATAGTGAAGTCTTACATCAAGCAAGAAAGGAAAAGAATTTAACTTTCAAAACTGCAGTTTGAACATTAAATAGATCTTCCTTTTACTGTATTCAATTAAACACAGGTCAAAGAGCCTTTGCAAATCACAGCATTCTAATTTTACACAGCATCCCAACATTTTTGGAATTGGGGTTATATAAATATATCAATTATACCCATTTTAAAGTATTTAGCTAATGAAACATAGTAGTCATAATACAATACAACTGTTGATAACCACAATCGCTTACTTCCAAAATCTCGAACAGTGAAGTTTCTGTTGCGAAGCTCTTTGGGGGACTTGAAGAAGAACCTCTGGCCGACAGGAGGAAGGTCTTTGTCCACAGCACTGACTATCTGGATCACCTGGTCATGGAAAAAACAGAGAATCTGCCTAGCACACTGAATCAGAGAACCCTAGAGAGAAGTTTGTGACTTCTAAATTTAAGATTGGTGGTTTAAATCTTTGTTCAAATCTCTTGGCTGGCAGGGCAAATGTCGAGAAGGAAAATGGTAGGTAGGTACATTTGTCACAATGTAACAGTTTATATAGTGAAATTGAGTTTTGGAACTCCAGAAGCAATTATAAAAATGGTAAACAGAAATAAACTATCATCACTGGAGCAGTGCTGGGGATGAATTTGAGCTTAAAAGTCTGATAGCTTGGGGAGGAAAGCTGCTCTGCAGTCTGGTGGTGTGGCAGCTGAAACTTCTGAAATTGAAACAGTAACTAATGTTGTTTTGTTAATATATAATTCAATTATATTCAGCACTCTCTGAAGTATTTGATTATAGGAGAGTGTATGGCTATATCAGATTCAAAATAATAAATTGTTACCATTTAAATAATACACGTGTGTAACAATGTTCCACACAATGAAATTAGGCTTGATATGCAATCAACAGATCATTTCAAGCAGAACTAGTTCAGTTTACCTGTCCGACTCTGGAGTTTTCACAGACGAAGGTATCTGAAAGAACTGTCAGCTCAGGAGGGAACTCGTTCACATCCAGGACGTTGACTGTCACTGACACTTTGATAGACAGCAGAGGGTTGTCTGTAAGGGTCAACATGAAGTTGTATATGACTATGACACAGCCAAATGTGTTAATCCAACAAAATGACAGTGAGTGTGTATCAGTGTGGCCTTAGAAATGATGGCTACAGTGTATACACTGTGAGACATCAAGACAGTATTTCCATATAATAAATATAAATATAAATAAATATATAAAGTAACTAAATATAGTCAATGGGTCAAGCCAGAATTTGGTACCACCTAAGGTGACAAAATCTCATTGGTACTAGTTTGTTTGACTTCAAAACTTCAAAACCTCATCCCAACTGTGAGGTATGGTGGAGGAGGAATCATGGTTTAAGGCTGCTTCGCTGCCCCATGGCCTAGAAGGATTGCTATCATCGCGGGAAAAATTAATTCCATTGGTTGAGGTTATTGCTGTCAAAGGAGGGTCAACCAGAAATTAAATCCAAAAATGAAAATGTTTACAACATGAAATATATAATTGTTTGTGTGGTATTAGTTTAAGCAGACCGTGTTTATTGTTGTGACTTAATTGAAGATCAGATCACATTTTATGATCAATTTATGCAGAAATCCTGGTAATTCCAAAGGGCTCACATACTTTTTCCTTTAACTGTTTATGGTCATGCTAATAGTTTGAAAAGTTTCCTAATGTTGCTGGCCATCCTGGAAATCTCCCACAAACTCAACATGGCTCAGTGACACCATGTTTTTCCTCCAGCTGTAGAAAATTACTTTCAAAGTGTCAACAGACCGTTTTGGGTATATATACACAATTTGTAGGTAACCCCACCAGATTAAGACTTATAAGACTTGACATCAAATATCTTTTTTGGATAGACAGGTGGGGTTGGGGGGATGTTTCATTGGTTTCCTGTGTTGTTTCATTTTCATTCTTAGGGCCCGTGTCCACCAAAGCGTTTTTTTCTGACGCCAGCATCTTTTTTCAATAATTCCAATGGGAGCGCCACGTTTTTCCAAGCTGGTAAAAACGCCAGCAGCGTGACGAGGCGCTGAGCGTCTTTTCCGCGCCGGACGCTGAGCGTTTTTTTCCGGTCGCCGAGAGTTGAAAAATGTTCAACTTTGGGAAAAACGCTGCGCTCGTCACTGTCACTTTTTACCCAGCTGTCCAATCACAGTGCAGGAGGGGCGGGACAAATACCACAACGTAGCAACGGTTACTATCCTGGAACGGGGCTTCGTCCTCTTGGACTAAACGGTGGTACTCGCCGAGATGTTTCCTCACCCACAAAATTATAAACCCACATATGGCCAGTCCGTCCTCTCTCTCTACCTGCTTCAGCCTTTTCTTCATACAGAGCAAGGGCCAGAGCAAGTACTCTGCTCTGTGTTGACATTTTTACATCGAGTAGGTAGAACTACTTGCAATCACGGATTTTATTTATCATAGCAGTCAGAAAGCAGGCCTCAAAAACTAAACCTTTCATGCTTAGAGATGCTGCTGTCGGTCATTTTAAACATCATGTGCGCAATAAAGTCACAACAAATATATACACGGGGCATTTAAGCAGCACAAAAAAAACAATGTATAAACTTGACATGACAAGACAGAGGAAACTCTCCAGAAGGCAGAGCATTCAACTTTTGGCTTCTGAAATAATTTAGACGCTCTGAAGGAGCTCAGGATGGATCAGGAGGATGCTGCTTTACTCCAAACACTGTGTGTGAGAGCTCTTGGATGTGGAGAAGAACACAGAACATGAATTAACATTTGATCCTGAGCGATCCTGTTGCTTGTCAGGAAATTTTAATATTAAGTTATGTTGCTGTGCCTTGTGCGTAAATCCACACAGCGTCTCTTACCATCGGAGTAATGCGCCCCTAAAATAAGAAAAAACAGTGAAATACTATGCCGTTGACTTGACAATGGTGCACTCGCTTTCTGCTGCCTCAAAATAGCATTGAACAACAATTTGCCTGAGTGACCACATCTCATTTTAAGATCAACACTCCCATGGGTGCATAATTTGCATAATTTGCTGTTTAAATAACGTGGGCACTTGGCGTGAAAATGACAACTGTGTCAGTTGGAAACTCGCAATGACACTTGTGCTGCGCTGTGAGCCGCTTTGTGCAAGGTGTAAGATAGGGCCAACAGAGAGCTAAATAGAGCGAGTTGGGGTGGTGGAGAGCGACGATCATGTATGCGCTCTGAGAGTGCGCGAACCCAAATGCTAGTGCGCCACAGTTCTGGTCATCCCCAGGGTCAGATCGTCTGAGTTGTACTGTAACGTCCTGTGTCTGACGCTGAGGCTCCATGAAATGACTTGAACTGTGACGCAATGGCATTTGGGCTTTCCATCATGATAATACGCTCACAGACTGGAGACTAATTTGCTTGCTACAGGTCACAGGAGTGTACATATGTTAGTAGGCCATTACCTGGAGCTGTTTCATTAAAAGTAACAAAAGCTGGTTGCTGTTTTGACACAGTGGAGATCATATTTTATCACATTTTATTCTTTTTTTGGCTTTATGTTCATTGCGTTTCCATAGCAGCTGTTTTATTTGCAAATTTGATAAAACCTGGGCAATAGTAATTAATAATAAAATATGATTATGGTTTATGGTTATTTAGGCTTATTGGCTCGCATCTGCCATCAAGGCTATTTTTCAAAATCACATCAGGTACGGTGTGGATGGATAGAGGCTAATTGTGCTAAATGATAATCTATGGTTACAAATGTGAAAAACCCCTTTTTTCCCTTTCTCTTACTCAGGGATTTGTTCCAATGTAGGCAGTCTTGCATGAAGACATAAAACTAAGCCTAACTAGACCATATCAGGTGTGATGAATCTTTAAACACTGCAGAATTAACTCAGTGGAGCTGTTTGTGGCTCCAGGTGATCACAGCTGAGGGAGGTGCAGTGCAACACCTCCTGGTCATTTTCTGTAAATCCTTTTCATGTGCTTGCTGTTGGTTCAATGCCATCAATCACACTTTACTGTCCAGAGCATTTACTAAAATAAACCTTAATCTGTGAGGCTAGACTAAATAACAGAAACATCTTTGTTTTATTCGCTACAGTTTGACAGCACCACAAACTACATGCTCCAAACTGATCATACAGTTGAATCGCCAACCTCTATTAAACTGTTAATCTCTTAATCATGAAGGGGGATTTATTGCATTATGTAATTAGTTTTTGATAATAAACTTTAAACTGAGTGCATATTTTTGTGTAGACATTGCATCGTCTTAAGGCAAAGAGGAATTCTTTGGTAGGCACTTAATTTTGAAGAGTAGCCTGAAGCACAAACATAACATAACTGCAAGGGGTTGATGAAGTCCCACCCACCAATGAAAGGAAACATTGAGTAATAAATTTGTTTTGAAGAAAGGAAAAGAAGACATTGTGCTGAATTCGGTTTTTTGTTTGATAAAAAAAACAAAAAAAACGTTTTGGGCAATGTCAATGTGTACTTTGTGTGTTACACTTGATAACCTGCAGAAGATACACTTGGGCGATTATGAGAATTGATACCCAATTATGAATTAATATTCATAAAATCAAAATTTTCCTCATTTCAGGGCACCACCGGAGTTGTTATAATCCTAGAGTCTCCGGACCTCTAGGTAGTTTTAATAATTATACAATTATTACTAGTGATCAGTTAGTTAATAATCGCTCAATTATCTTAAATCAGTCAGTCAGTCTCATATCTAAAGGGTCAATTCTCTTGGCAGGAACTAGAAATAGGCAACACACACAGCTCTTGATTATATTACAGTGAATTTATTCTCTAACTAATGTGATAAGACGATGGTTGGATACAGGGAACATAAACATTTGCTGAACAATGAGCCTGGAGGTTCGATTGTGGGAAGCATTTGACTCATACGGCATAGAAGAGCTAATGAAAGTAAACTAATGCTATAATTTAGGAGTTAAAATGGACATGTGATCACAGAACGTGTGAAGTCTTACTGCTTGTCGACAGCCTGCTTTTGGCCTGTTGCTGGTCCCACGCTAGCAGCCCAATCCTGGCTTTTTGCTAGGGATTCTCGGGGTTCTCCGTGTCTGATTGAAAACGCCTCCTCCGTCTGGCAATTCGGCTGTTTTCAGGTTTCCTTCGTTGTAGCTGGCGAGACCACGTGGCTTGGTCTGACCTCGGTGAAGTTGGCTCGACGAAAAAGGCTTAAAATGGAACTTGGTCGTTCCTGAATTAGTCCAGTGTAACTTAACGGACTGATAACTTTAACAAACAAAAGAAATAAAGAAAAATAAAAACAAACTGAAGGGCAGATCGATGTCGCGGCACTTCAGGTGTGTAGCTTCAGGCGAACAAAAGGCCTGTTTCGCTGGCCGAGTCTGGGCGTTGCCTGGCGAGGCACGCCAAACACGTGCCGAAGCGTCCAGAGGGCCGAGCAGAGTGGAAGAGAGCCAACAGCGAAGAGAAGGTCGAGAGGTCGCGTGTCGCTCTTTTGTTGCCTGGGGCGTGGTTCCCCATGGGGCGTCTCAGGTTTCCCAAGGGACTGCCTTTCTAAACTTAATGTCTAAAAAGAAATGTATTTACACGTATTATAATCAAATATTTTCCACAATCGAACCTCAATGGTCGAACGGTTGTACTGTTCTAGGCATTTGGTAACAGGAAACAATTGTCACATTACTGGTCAGGATATTTATACATTAACGGCATTTCCGACGATGGTATGTAATACTTATTTCGTCCACTTGGGGGAGCTCAGGTTACATGAGGAAAGCTTGGATTGGAGTGTCTTGCTGAAAATAAAAACACTGCACAAGAGACTTCTAACCTTCCATTTCTCTCTAAGGTCCTGGAGAAAGCAGTTGCTAAACAGCTGTGTTTAGCAACTACTTTCTACAGAGCAATAGTTTATTTGAGGATTTTCAGTCAGGATTTAGAGCTCATCATAGCACAGAGACAGCACTGGTGAAAATTACTAACGACCTCCTTATTGCATCAGACAAAGGACTTGTCTCTGTACTGGTTTTATTAGATCTTAGTGCCAATTTGATAGCATTGA